AACAGGGGATTGAAACAGAGGCTGATACAGCCAAACTTTGAGCAGAGGACAGGGAGTCTTATGGAAGAAGAAGAGGGGAAGGGAGTAGAAGGACATGGAGGGGACAGGAGTCCTACAAGGAGACCAACAAAGTAAAAAATATGAGCCCAGGGGTCTTGCAGAGACTGATGCACAAATCTCATAACTCTTAAAAGTTATATATCTGCAACAGTGAGCATCATGTAGATAAGATATTCAAGTTTTCTTAACAGCTCAATATGTAGTCTGATTCCCTCGCATTACAACTCTAGTGGTCTGAGCAACTAGGAAACTAACCCTCTAAAATCTTTTTCCTGTGTGATCATTCTCAAAAAGAACACTTGTTCAGCAAAATTCTCAAACCAGGCTCTCTAAAATCAATGTGCCTTTTCACCAGTTGGAGTCTTTGATGGGTTTTACTCTAGGTTACCTTTCTCATGGAGCCACTGAGAAACCACATGGAAACACTGAAAAACAGTTTTATTTTCAGTGGCCCTGATCTCTTTAGCAAGTACAACTGATTTTTCTGTACCCATCTTGTCTGTGATTTTAAAGTTGCTCATGATCTCTTACATTTGTACATTTTCAATAGGTGTCGTCCCTCCTTCTTCCTAAATTTAAGAGTTGAGGGCAGTAACCATGCCACGGCCCGGTTGCTGTGCAATGTTGACATTGCCTCCATTGAAAATCGGAGCACATTAGTTTTTAATTCTAACCATTCTAATTTTCAAAACAGGACCAGAATATACCCAGATGCTTTGACAGAGTGAAACTTGAACAGTGTTTAGCTAAGAAAAAGATGTCTCTGAAAGAAAAATTATAAATAATAAGACAAATACTTGTTTAGGCAATAAGCTATGCAGTTCAGCTACTTCTTGAACAGTTGCCCCACAATATATGTTAAGATGTTTAATATTAACAAGATATTATAGACACACCTAATAGAAACAAATAGAGACTTTTATTGGAAAGAATAGAATGTATTTCTTTAGTTTGTAATTTTAATTCCTGCCTAATAATATATACCAGTATTAACCAAACAGCAATACCAAAAATAATGTCATAGAAATCAATTTACGGCAACAGATTTAACACAAATTAAAGGAGAGAAACCACCCTTCCTTTTACACTGTGCTCTATGTCACATTTCATTGAATGTAAGATTGGCTCTTTCATATGGAAAGTGTTCTGTTTCTCACAAATGCAGCATGCTTTTCTGCCAAGGTTAACTTTAAGCCACATTCATGATTTCCTCAGACAAATACATATTGGAATCTATCAACATATAAAGGTAGGTTTGTACAGTGATTTCTCTCCCAGCTTTGATAGTAAAATGTTTTCACATATGTTTTAGCCATGTCAGTGGGTTTCAATGTGATCATATTAGAAAATTAGATAAAATCTCTTAAAACAATCTTTGTTGTAAATAAGTAAATTACAACTTTCAATTTCATCTAGTTTATATAATATGTAAATTATTATTATATATAAATATATTTTTTTCATTTTTCAAAATGAATAATAACATTATTACTTTCAATTTTTCATATGAATTATAACTGAAAAGTTTTATAAATTTAGTTTCTATAATTGAAGTCAGTCTTGGTAGAAGAGACTAGTTTAAAGTTATTTAATTAAAAACAGGTATAGGAGCCAGGCACAATGGTTCATGCCTGTAATCCCAGCACTAGGGGAGGCAGAGTTCAAGGCCAGCCTTGTCTATAAAGCAAGTCCAGGACAATCAAGGGTACACAGAGAAACCCTGTTTTGGAAAAACCGAACACCCAAACAACCAAAAAAAAAACAAAAACAAAACCAAAAACCCAACATATAAACAAACAAACAGGGATAGGTTTAGAATGAGACGCACACAGTGTTAAGCATATATTGTAGCTGATTTGAGAGTATTTTTAAAGAATACTTTAAAATACTGATCAAATTCACCAAAATTAGTGTATAAATATATAATTGTTATTCAAATGAATGATACGATTTATTCCAACAATAGCTATGATTTATTAAGTTATCATCAAATAATTTCTAAGATCCTCATTAAGTTGAAATGATATTCCTATGCTAGCTAGCCAAATATCAGCTATTTTTTTAATTGATGAAATACAAAAGCATGCATTTAAATGTATGAATTTTACCTCTTTTAATGGCCTAGAGGAATGTGCGTACTTGGCACTGTGAATTATATGTTTATTTCAACACATTAAAGAGACTTACTACAAAGAAACATATGGCTATAAAAAGTATAAAATGTATAGTCACAAAATCTATTGAAATTGCTGGTGGCTAATACTTTATAATTATCCGCCTCATATGTCTCTCTATAAAATAAAAATGTAGCAAAATTAAAATTTTATGTAAGTATGACTCTTCCAGAAAAATATTGATATATAAGGATTGTAAGACAATGTTTTGCTAAAGAAGTCATTTTTCCTAATATTAAAATCACATACTACTCCAAAATGTGTGAGGTAAAGTTAAAATACACAGAGTCAGAAAAGATTAACAAAGTCTTCTTCCTTGACAAGGACATTTAGTATTTAAGGATTTATACATAATATATTTTTAAAAACAGAATGAAATGTTATCATGCTGCCAAGCTAAGATTGAATTTTTCTCTCCATTGAAATGACAAAATTTTCTTGAGATAATTTTTCTTCTGTTCAAAAGAAATTATAAATTACTTTTCTTCATAATTTTCTGTGTAAAATACATAAAAAGTCATAGAACATTCCAGAATATTTTTTCATGATTTTATGTTAATGTCATAATGTCATATAATGCATGAATTTTGCTCACTGTCATATTAAAATATCAACATCAAAACAAATTTTTGTGTTTTAAAATTCTAAATATTTTTAGTATTGTAACTGAAAGTGTAGTACTGTAGTACAATGTTTAAATGGATTCATACTCCAAAAAACAAGTTGTTGTTTTTTTTAAGCTTTTTTTTTTTAAAAAAAAAAAAAAAAAAGGAAATGGGCTAGGGCTTGGCTTGTTGCCTCATGCTCTTATTTCAGCATACTGGAAAGAGAAAATGGGAGATGTAGTTCAAAAAGTAAGATCAACAAACAGGAGACACAAACCTGCTGCTTCAGAATTGGTTTAAAAATGAAAGATAGTGCACTTTGGGAATGATTCATCAAGGGGGGTGTAAAGACTCAGTGATGAAGAAACCTGAGGTTTCATTGGACAGCTTGGCTTTTGGTTAAGGAAGGAAACATCCTTTGCAAATGCACTCTCTGTTAACTTCTTAAGTAATTCTCTATACACTCACATTTCTCCCCTTCATTTGGCAAAGATCCTCAACTCTAGAGGAACTTCCTGTAATTCAATAACCATGGTGACAGTGTTTCATGGTATTTCTTGAATGAAAAAGACTGAAAAGAAAGTACATACTCTATTCAAGAGTATGTACTTAGAATATGGCTATGGATATATGCATATTAGTAAAAACTCAATTTGCAATGTTCTGGAAAGGCCTTTCCCAACTAACATATTTTATTCAAGATGGAGAATAGATGTATTTAGTTGTTTCTACTATGAAATAAACTCAACTGAAAGACAGAAAACCACTTAAACTGCCCAAGCTCTAAAATTGACTAAAAGACACATACCAGAAACGCTCCTGTGGTATTGGTAAATACTGTAATTTGTTTCTATAATTCATAAGAATTGTATGCATGTTTGCCCAGTGAAAAGTTATTTCTATGGGGACTTTAATTTTCACATTTATTAAATCATCCTAGAAAGTAAAATTCATAAATACGTAGGTTTGGGACTGTGAAAAAATAACTTACCTGGAGGAAAAATAGAAAGATATTAGAAAAATGTGAATATCGCAGACAGTTGTGTAATGGTGCTATCATTTTGACAGAAAATGCATCGTGAGAGGTCTAAGTAGAACTGATAATCATATTCATTATGATAAACACTGAGGGTCACATGCCAGATAATTCTTGCCAGATATGCTACAGAACTTACCTCTTCCATTTTTTTTTCTTGCCTCTTAGGAAAAAAAAAAGTTTTCTGATCTTTGAAATATTCAGTCATGTTTCAGTATAATTTCTGCGTTCATTAAATGAAAATGAATTTCATACAAATATAATATAAAATTGTTCATAACAATACCTCTTTTTTATTTAGCAATTTTCATATTTTTGTTTGTTTGTTTTTTGTATATGAAAGCCAAATTTATGTTTTAGGTTTTAATTAATGAACCTAAAAGAGCCATAAAGTGAAAATGCCTCTAACCTTTGAGTTCCTTGTCTGAGCGTAGATATTCCCTGCTAATCAAGCTTGTTTGACCCAACTGCCCAAGATGTGCTTGGTCTCATGTGGGTGGGAGGTGCTTAGGCAGGAAATACTTCAAGGTGCATGATCGCCCCTGACTGGGCCTGAAGGAAAACACTGCAGCCTTATGGGGTTGCCTTTATAACCTTGTCCAAAATGGTTTTCATGTGACTTATCACCATTTTCTGGGAACCACAGAATGGAACTGGATAAAGTCCATCATCATGGTCAGTATTTAATTAAAGCTTTCTGTAACTGGGCTCAAAAAATGGGGTAGTGGTCTTATTCTCAACTGGTGAGATTAATGACTCCTGCAAAGGTTAAACCCATGTTATCCAAGCACTCTACATGAAACTGACTTTTAAGAAACTAATATAACCACTTTATACAGGACCAAAGTCAACATGCCATCCATTTAAATGAGTCTTCTTATGATCTCTAAGTAGTTATTACAAAACCTTTATGTCTATATCTTCCTATACAGAGAGCTTTGGAATTCCTCCTCTCTTTTGTTCTGTCTTTCTTAATTTTTAAATAGTATCCTGCTATGTAACCCCTGGGTCCATGAACGCATTAAGGTAAAGGATAAATGTGGCAAGTGTGTTCATCCTGAGAAGATCACCGGCTATAGGTCACCATCTTCAAGATAATAGCTTTATCCAATTTTAACATCTTACGGCTTCTTTCGGGCCTCAGCGGTGCTTTTGTCTTCTTGTTTTGGCTCCCACCCTCGTGAAGGGCCTTGAACCAGTCTCTCAGTCTGTTCGCCACCTCTCTGAATTCCAGGTCACTGCAGGCTAAAAACAGAAATAACGTACGTGTTTAATAACAATAAAATTTTAGTGGGAGACCTGATAGTTTTCTCTTGAAAGGCTACACTTCAAACTTTACCTTGGAGACTACAGAGTTGTTTCTGCCCCATAAAGAGCAATATTTCAGCTTCCTCCCTAGTATTCTTTCTATCCATACATTTGGGTGACAAAAGGCTCCCTCTCTGTGAAGATACGTGGTCCCTCCTACCGTCAGACCAGGCCTCCCTTTCTTTCCACCTTCTGTCTGTTCGCAACTACTTTTTACTTCATCTAACATATGGTGCTGAAACCTGGAAAGGATGAAGGACCTTTGTGTCCAGTAGACAGCACAAACTTGTTACTCTAGGACCCAATGGACCTGTGGGGTCACCATTTGAAGCTTTTTATTTTCCCTTTCTCTCTCTGACCTTTTCTTCACTTTCCCTTCTGACCCTGAGAGTCTGACTGAGGTGGGAGGCCTTGCTACATTCACACTCATGCAAGAGCAAATGACTGGAACAAGGTGATTCTTTGGGCCTAATTCAGAGACACTTCAGTTAGAGGCAGGCGCTCACTGCAGCTTTCTTGTGCAAGACCCTTCAGTCAAAGGAACTGGCGACTTTATACATATTCAGATGAAAGCTCTCAGAATCTTCCCAAGGCCCTGCAGCTCCTTTGCCCTGGAATTATTCTATTAGGTTAGGGACAATCCTTTATTAACTGCTGTGTCTGTCATTTCAACGAAGATCGTCTAAGAATCCAAGAGCTTTACAGAAAACTCTAAGACCCTTTCACTTGAAAGTCATAGGTCTGCAGTTCACTAGAGTTTCACAATTGAAATGGCCTAACTGCTAACTCAAAGTGTGTAATGTTCAATTTAAATATGTAAAACAGTATTTCTCAACCTTTTTGATGCTGCAGACTTTTGATACAGTTCTTCTTGTAGTGATCACCCCAACCATAGAATTATTCCATTGTTAATAACTGTAATTTTCCTGCTGTTATGAGTTGTAATGTGATACAACTGATATCTTATATATGACCACTGTAAAAGGGTTGTTAGACCCTCCCCATTGCCCAGAAGGGTTGCAAACCACAGAGAACCCCACATCTAAACAGATTTAAATAACTCCATAAGACAGAATGGTAGTTTAGTCTGAGGACCCTACCCCCATAAAACCGGAAGTTCGCTTTAATGGTACCTAAAAGTTCTGGCTTAGAACCATGTCCAGTACCACAATGCCTGCTATATCAGCTGGGTCTCCAAAATTGTATCTTTACGATTATTCCTAAGTGAGAGAGCATAAAAGTCTTTTTGCTTTATGCTTTATTTGCCTTGTCATTTTGCCTACTTATCTTTCTACCTCTCTCCAGACCTGCAAAGTCCTGCTTGCATCTTTTGCAGCTAAGAGGTGAAAGCATTTCAGATCGTGTGCTTTCTGTGGCAGACACACAACCTGATTATGGCTATGTAGATTTCTGGTTTCAGTTTTAATACAGACTCAAATGTCATTGGGGTCTAGATAATATTGAAAGATTTTTCATGATCTATTCTTCTGAATATCCAGCCTCTGAAGTTATAATTTGGCCAGTCTGCTCCAAGCTAAGCATGTCTCTGTCCAATATCTCTGTCCTATATCTCTGTCCTGGGTCAGGCTGGCCACCTAACTCTGTGACTGGAAGAAGAAGAAGAAAAACAAAAGGTGCTTTTAAGTACTATGTGCTTAAAATAGCTAAAAAGTAAATTATTCCAAATAGGGATTACTGTTATTTATCTCATACCTTTTTCTTGGATTCCTTTAACTCTAAGTACCCCACCTCTTTTCCTTGTTTTTTTTTGGTGTTTTTGTTTGTTTGTTTGTTTGTTTTGTTTTCTTTGTTTTCTATCTATAGAAATGACAGTGTATAATCCCAGATGTTTAACTCTCAGGACATTTCCTGCTTTAATATCTCTAAAATGTTATCTCAAATCTATAAGTGTAGTTTTAAAAGGCAGCAAACAACAAGGAAATTTGCTCAACCATGTTAGTAGCAGCTTTATTTGTAATAGCCAGAACCTGGAAATAACCCAGATGTCCTTCAGTTGAGGAATGGATACAGAAACTGTGGTACATTTACACAATGGAGTACTACTCTGCAGCTAAAAACAAGTAAATCATGAAATTTGCTGGCAAATGGTAGGAACTAGAAAAGATCATTCTGAGTGAGGTATCCTAGAAGGAGAAAGACACACATGGTATATACTCACTTATATATACCTATAAGAAATGATAAACATAATGAAATCTCTACACCTAAAGAAGATAAACAACAAAGAGGACCCAGGGTAAGATGATCAATCCTCACTTAGAAAGACAAATGGGATGGGCATTGGACATAGGAGAAAACAAGTAACAAGACAGGAGCCTACCACAGAAGGCCTCACAAAGACTCTTACCTAGCAGTGTATCAAAGCAGATACTAAGACTCATAACCAAACCTTGGGCAGAGTGCAGGGAATCATATGAAAGAAGGAGGAGTTAGTATGACGTGGAAAGGATAGGAGCTCCACAAGGACCAAATATATCTTGGCACAGGGGTCTTTTCTGAGACTGATACTCCAACCAAGGACCATGTATGTATATAACCTAGAAACTCTGCTTGGATGTAGCCCTTGATAGCTCAGTAACCAATTAGGTTACCATAGCAAGGGGAACAGGGAGATGAACTGACATGAACTCAACAGCAGGCTCTTTGACCTCCCCATCTCCCAAGGGAGGAGCAGCCCTGTTAGGCCACATAGACGGACTTCGAAGCCAGTCCTGAAGATACCTGATAAAACAAGGTCAGATGAAAGGGGAGGAGGTCCTCCCCTATCAGCAGACTTGGAAAGGGGCAGGGAAGAGATGAAGAAGGAAGGGTGGGGTTAGGAGGGAATGAGGGAGTGGGATACAGTTGGGATACAGAGTTAACAAAATGTAACTAATAATAAAAATAAAAAATAAAATAAAAACAAAGTGAATAAACAGTAATTAATAAAAAATTAAATAAATTTTTAAAAAGGGCTGTAAAAATTCAAGCCAAAATGTTAGCTTAAAATCTTTAAAGCAAAAAGTTAATAGTTAAAAGTCCATGTATGATAATCTTAATTTGCTATTGCATAACATGTATGTAACTTGAATTCAACTCTTGTTTAGGGAAAGGGTATGTGCCTGATGGGCTGACCTTGGAGGATCATATAGCTTGCTTCATCTTGGCTGATGACTTAGCAGCCCTGTGGCTTGCTGCCATCTTGGATCTTGTCCTCATAAGGATAGAGGCAGGCTGTGTGACTTTATTGCCACTTTATTTATGGTTAAGGTGATCATGTAGTATTCTATTTATCACTGACTTGCCTACTTTAGATGAAGAAAGCAACACAGGGCTTCTAAGATGATTTGTTTTACAACAGGTTCATGAAAAAAACTTATATTTTTGGTAATTTTATTAAGGTTTAGCCATTTGATGAAACTGAGTTATATAAAGACAGCAATATTCTTGTTTTGTTAAGCTTTGGTTATTTGAAGAAACTGGGTGACATAAAAAGCTGGGATTTTGTAAAAGTACACTAAAAGACCTATCTCTTCATAGATTATATTTACAGCTTAAACATTATTTTGATACCAAAGGATCTTTAGTTTGAGAATTATATTTTTTAAGGCTCAAATTTAAAAGGCATAAAATTATAAAACCCCAATATTATAAAATAGTTACTACTAATTGTAAACTGTTAAGGATAATAAAGATATACACATTAATGATCAGTCATCAAAAGTAAAAATGAGATCTGCAGAGACAAGCTTTGAGCTATTAGAGCAATTTTTATCTCACATCATATCATAAAGTCTTCTGTTATTTCCCCATCATAGTATTCTTTATATGTTTTTAAAATTAAGCCTAAAGCAAATAAAGAAAAACAAGTCTAAATAACTTTAAAGCATGTTCAATACAAAATAATATTCCAAATCAGACAGATTATAAAATGATTATAAAATATTGACTAAGATGCTCAATCCCCATGCAGAAAGGCAAAGAGGATGGACATCGAAGGAGAAAACAGGGAACAGGATAGGAGCCTACCACAGAGGGCCTCTGAAAGGCTCTATGCTGCAAGATATCGAAGCAGATGCTGAGATTCATGGACAAACTCTGGGCAGAGTGCAGGGTATCTTATGAAAGAAGTGGGAAATAGTAAGATCTGGAGAGGACAGGGGCTCCAGAACCAAAAAGTCTGGGCACAGGGGTCTTTTCTGAGACTGATACTCCAGCCAAGGACCACTCATGGAGATGGTCTGGAACCCCTGCACGGAGGTAGCCCATGGCAGTTCAGTGTCCAAGTAGGTTCCATTGTAATGGGGACAGGGACTGTCTCTGACAGGAACTGATTGACCTGCTCTTTGATCACCTCCCCCTGAGGGGGGAACAGCCTTACCAGCCTTACCAGGAAGACAATGCAGCCACTCCTGATGAGACCTGGTAGACTAGGATCAGGGGGAAGGGAAGGAGGACCTTCCTTATCAATGGACTTGGGGAAGGGCACAGATAGGGAAGAGGGAGGAAGGATGGGATTAGGAGAGGAAGAGGAAAGGAGCTACAGGGGGGAAACAAAGTGTATAAACTGTAATAAATAAATGTTTAAAAAGATCAAATACTTTAGTACAATGGGTAAATCACAATACACTTGCATGGTATGAACCCTCCTATGCTCAAGCAGTATCTTTGGATGTAACACCATCCCACCAGAATAAATTGTATGCTGGTCTCATTGCAAGACAAAGATTCACTCTTGCAAAGATGCAAGAACATGACATGCCAGAAGTCTGCTGTTTCTGCTCCTACTGCATAAGCCTGGCCAGCTTTGACCATTTAGTCCAAACCATAAAGAAAACATCCTTCTTATGTAAAAATGAATTAATATCATGTGACAGTGTAATGGATTATCATGCATGGTGCCAGATCTCAGAGTCTATACTTACATCCCAAATGTC